CTTGTTCCGTGCCACGCTTGCGGGAACGACCTTCCAGGTGTTGCGTTCCTCCAATGCCTTTAATTCCCTGTCCATGGCTTCACGCCATTTTTCCCTGTGTTCCCCCCCCAGAGCCTGCTGAACTGTCGCAGGCTCTTTAGGAAGAGTGTTGCCGGCGGTCCCGTGGACTGCGGTGACGAGGCCAAGGATTTGTAGCCCAGTCTGTGAGTATCGAGGGAGTTCTGGATCCTCGGGATAAGCTGCTTCGTCTCCCGCTTCTGGGTCGGGGATGAAATTTGGCCCTATCCTTTCTGCTTCGTTGGTGTTGACTGTCGCAGGTGTTACGTAACCGTTGTCGGCGAAGTGGTAGAAGACTTCGGCGTTGTTACTGTCGCGAGGATTATCTTCATCCATGGGCACATCGACGGAGCAGTACGGGAGAGGTCCGGCTTCCTCCGATGCGTTGTCGACGTTCTGTTCATCCCAGTCTGCTTCGTCCGCTGCTGAGGCGAAGGCTCGGTCACCACGAAAGCCACCTGTGGGGTCCCGATTCTCGTGCAAGTTGGCGAGGTACGTCTGAAGGGTGAGTCGTTCGTAGAAGATCACATCACGTGCTGCTACTGTTTCTTTTGTGTGGACGTCGAAGATTCTCCACCCGTTGTAATTTTTCTCGATGCCGAGGTGTAGTCCCCACTGTGCCCGTTGCGAAAATCTTCCCGCTCGTGCTTCTGGGGGTCGGTACTGTACCATGCACCCAAAAACTCGTAACATTTTTGTGCTGCCCTGCTTTCCTGTCCACAGCAGATGCGGTGATGCGTTGTTCGGGAGTGACGACGACGAAAGCAAGTTGTGCAGCATGACAGCATGGTCCATTGCTGCTGGCCACTGGTGGTTGGGTAGCCGCATGCCACGTAGTAGTTTGCGCATGCTGTTCTGCAGGGTCCTGTTCATTCTTTCTGCAACACCCTGCTGCTGATGTGCGTAGGGAAGGGAGAGGAGTTGCTTGATCCCCCTTTCCGCCAGGTACTGCTTGAAGCGCTGAGAGGTGTATTCACCACCTCCGTCTGACTGGAAGCTTTTCAGCTGCGTTCCTGATTCCCTTTCTGCTACCGGTAGCCAAGCGGCGAATGCTGCGAGTGCCATGTCGCGGCTGGGTAGGTTGCGATGCCAGACGTATCGAGTGGCGGCGTCGATGAAGGTAATCGTGTAATTATAGGTTACTTGGCCTGGTTCTCGATTGTAGAGGATGTCGCTGTAGACTTTTTCGAGTGGTGCGTATGCAGGTGCGCTCGGGTTGTGGTGAGAAGAAAAAGGTCGATGTGGTAAGTCGGCCTCGGGGCAGATGAGGCAAGTCCCCCGTGCACGTTGAAGTTCTCTGCCATCGAGTAGTAGTAGCGAGTCTTTGTCTAGCACTCCTGCTCGTATCGTATTATTTAACACCGTGTTACTTGGATGTCCTGTGCGTGCGTGCCAGATGTCTTCGGAGGCGCGGTGTCCGGGTGAACGTTGATATGCGTCGGAGTTGGAGTAGAAGCTGGCGACGAAGTTGGCACTGCGGTGGACTTCTCGTTGAGTCGGGTTCAGCTGTTGTGCGGGTGTTGGTGGTGCTTCGTCGACGATGACTGGTGTCGTTGTTCCTGCTGCTGCCGATGTTGTTGCTGCTGCCGATGTTGTCTCTGCTGCTGCCGATGTTGTCTCTGCTGCTGCCGATGTTGTCTCTGCTGCTGCCGATGTTGTCTCTGCTGCTGCCGGTGTTGTCTCTGCTGCTGCCGATTGTTGAATTGTTGCTAATGCTCGTGTTCTCTCTGCTTCAGGGATGGTGTGTGAGTAACAGAAGCCTCCTGGACTGAAATCAGGATCGAGGTCCGGAGGGTGTGTCCAGTCGGTAAAGTTGACGATGGCGTCGCTGTCTGCAGTGCCCAGGTCGGGGACGAAGTCAAGAACGAAGACGTTATTCTTCAACACTGCTTTCCCGATGTAGAGGCCGCCCCTCCCGTGGTATAACTTAAATTCCTGGGTGGTGCTGTCGGCTTCCAAGTGAATCCCCTTCGCCATCAGCTGGCTAACACTCAGTAAGTTATAACCGAGTCCTTCTGCGATGAGTACTTTTGACATGTGTAGTATAACGTTGGTCTCTCTTGATTGAAGCTGAACGACTCCTTGTCGTCTTGTGCGCAGGTTCTGGTTGTTGGCGACCGTGATGACTACTTCTCGCTGGAGTCGATGTTCGCGTTGTACGAAGCGCCCGGAGGAGCACATGTATTGTCCGCAGCAACTATCCAAGAACCAAGTGTCTTGGCCGGACGGTTCACTTTGAGCGATTGCGGCGTACGTTGGGTTCGGTTGAAGAGATTCGCGGCGAGGCGTGCTGTTGTCAAGTTGATCTTCGGGTGAGTAGTACGGTGGTGACTCTGTTGTGCAAGAGTCGTTTATCTTGACCATGCAGTTGACAATATTTCTTGCTCCTTGTGCAGGTTGTCCAGTTGAAGTCGTTGAAGCTTGGATCGTGGTCGTCGGACTTGCTTGCGTTGAAGTAACTTGGGAGCTTGAAGGCCGTAGTTGTCGCTGTGGTGTTGTCTGACGAGACGGGCAATGTGTGCGAGGATGGCCCGAAGTCTTGCAGATGTGGCAGAACGGAGGTACCGTTTTCACTTGCTGTTGTCGATTGTTGTTGCCGTTGTGTCGTCGCTGAGTGTGAAAAGAAAATTCTGGTGCTAATGCTTTCTTCTTGTGTCTTTCTTCTTGCAGGTCCATGTCCTGCTGCTCAGCATGAATTTCGGCGCAGAGTGCCGCTTCGGAGATCCTCCCGTGTGCTCGTAATATGGCGCGAGTGGAGCACCAGTGGGGGCCAAGACCGCCGATGACCACCGTGACAAAGGCGTCTTCTGAGATTGACCCGCCGCATCGAAGAAGCTTGTCGCGCAGTTCGCGGCAGCGTCTGATATAAGCCATGCCTTTCTCGCCTGGTTTCATTTCAATCGTTGTCAGCTGTGCCATTAACCTGCTTTGGTTTACGCTGTCTGTTGCTTGATACAGGTTCTTCAGGTGGTTGTACGCGAGCTCCGCGGAGTTGCCGTAGCCTCGGTAAGTCCTGATGTTCTGCTGCTGGGTTGGGGTGATGTTCCTCAGCAGAATCGTATACGCCATCATCGATTGATATGTATATTGCTGCTTCTCATATTGTGTCCCGTTTGTTGGATATGGCAGGGACCCGTCGAAGAAGCCGAGAATCTGTGCTCCTTCCATCATCAGTTCAAACTCGAATGACCAGGTGAAGAAATCTTTGCCGTCGAAAGGCTTTGTCGTTTGTAGTATTAGGACATGCGCGAATTGCAATTGGACTTGTAACGCATCCAATGTCCTTTCTTGTCCCAATGCAGGTTGCGGTTGCGGCATGAAGCTGACGGAGCCACGTTGGGGCTCGTACGGCGCAAAGGTAGGCTGCTGTTGTTGTTGTTGCATCCCGCGTGCATAGGATGAGCCGTCGAGGCTCATCGGAGAAACATTGTTGTTGTTGTTGCTGTTGTTTGACTGCGCAGGCACTCCTTGCTGGTGTTGCTCGTAGAAGGACATGAAGGAGAAAAATTTCTCCATCATGTTTGAATCGAAGCCTGCTGGTGTTTCCGTGGACCCAGCTGCTGGTCTTGCGGTAGTGCCTTCCTCTGTCTGTAGGCCAGAGGCAGGAGGTGGAGTAGGAGTAGTGCCTGGGGAGCCGTTGGAGGAGCTCCTCTCCTTCCTTGCAGACATGTCTTCTTTCTTTGTATTTAAGTATTGAGAGAGAAAATGATCTTAAACTCTAACTGCTCTCATACCATGTTGGGCTGAGAAGCCCTAGGATCTTTGTAGAGCTTAAGGACTGAATAGGATTGTAATAGCGGAAGCGTTGAAGTATACAGTGATTGAACCACCTTGCGCTAGTATGTGAGGGCAAAGTAAGTTGGATTAAACAAGCAAATACAAGGTTTATATAAGAGTACAAGGAATACGAATTGATAGATTTAAACCGTTTTACTGTTGCGATTCGATACAGTGCGACTCGGGCAACTGCTCAATGTCGAGTCAGTTGTGTGTCCTTGCTGTCGCGCTGTAATTGTCGAGTCAAAGGTCGCTGACCTTTGACTTTCCCGTAACCTCTAGGCGGTTACCCTAACCTCCGAGGGTTGACTCGCGATGCTTCGATTTGGGCTGCTTCGCTAGTGTCCTGAGTTTCGACACGACAGAGGCGCCTTAAGACTTATTGTTCCCAACATCAACATCAGTATTTGTTGTATTGTTCAGAACACTGAAAAAAAACTGTGTCGTATGATAAGACCCGGGTGGCATAATTTTTTTTCCTTTGTTAAGACCCCCCCCCATTTTTTCTAGGGATTTAGGATAAGACCCTAGGGTCTTATATTCGGGGGAATACGGGTATCATATGTATGTACACTATCAAAATCAGGCAGTACCAACACTGATGTCTCCTATTTTCCAGTGGGTTTCACTTCACCGCGACAAGACTACCATCACCTCTATCAATCAATGATTGCGATATACACCGTCACCGAATTCCTCGTCGCATAGCTCAGAGATTCCTTTGCACATGTAGTCGCGCTGAATGCCGCACTCTTCGTTCTCATCAAAGTGGTCAAAGAACCCCGCGCCTGATGTCAGCCAACAGGGATTTAGATCCCCCGGCTTGGCCGTGATTTGCCTGGCGGGATGGCAGGCAATAGAATGGGCAGCAAGGAAGCACAAGTGAGCTGCCCTTGATTTGATTCCAGCATTATTAACTTTTGTCTTCAAGCAGCACTTGGATTTGACTGGTTGTCCTTCAAGGCAGTGGAAGCAGCACAGCACCCACTCGGGACGTACAAAAACCATAGACTTCAGCAGCCTAGCATCCATAAAAAGCACGCCGACATGTTACTCAGCTTGATTGATTACCGAGGCCTGGGAGGGAGTGAATGCACAGAATATACTACTCAGATGTGCATCTAGGCAATGCCATATGCGGTTGATGTAGGGAACATGGATCTCACCACTCCTGGTCGTCGATCATGCTCTCCGTCATCCCGAACGCCCGCAGCTCCTCGCGGCTGTGATGCATGCGCAGGCTGTACCTGGGAGGGGACGTGGATGGGCGAGTGAGTGTGGGGAGGGGGGCGGGTGAAGGGGTGTGCAAGGGTGAGTGAGAAGGGCGGGAGGAAACGGGTGAGTAAGAGGGGGTGTGCACAGGTGAGTGAGAAGGGCGGGGGGGAGACGGGTGAGTTGGAGGGCGTGTAGATGGGTGAAGCCCCAAGCTTCTCGCGGCTATGGTGCATGCGCAGGCTGTACCTGTGGGGGACGTGGATGGGTGGGTGAGATAGAATGCACAGAGGGAAGTGAGAGGGGGAGTGCACAGACGAGTGACGGGATGTGCACAGGTGCGAGGAGTGGGTCAGGTCAGGTCAGGGTAAGAGGAGGAGATAGGAGAGGAGGAAAAGAGGAGAAGAAGCTGCAAGGTGCGTGCCATGAGAGTTGAGTGCATGAGAGTTGAGTGCATGAGAGTTGAGTGCATGAGAGTTGAGTGCATGTGCGTGAATGAGAGAGCATGATCACCACCCCATACACACATACCTGCCGCCCGGCCCCAGCTGCATGATCATGCAGCCGGCGTTGGGGAAGTTGTAGAGCCCTTCAAACTGCTCCACCGTCCACTTGTACCAACGCATGAGGAAGACGCGCAGGGTGAGCCCGTGCGACACCAGCACGAGGTTCATGTTGCGCGCTGCTGCCTCCTCCCTCTGAAACCGCCCCACGTCTATGTCCGCTCTTAGTGTCTCCCGGAAGCCTGGCATGGTGGGATGGGGGATGGGGGAACAAATTGGGCGGTAGGGGGGTTTGTGGGGGAAGGGGAGTTGTGAATGGTCAACCAGTGCGGTTGCACCTGTGTGCACTTACGTGATCCTAAAAACACACCAGTGACACCCTCGCACCTGCGTGGTCACAGTGCACCCACGACATGGTCACAGTGCACCCACGACATGGTCACAGTGCACCCACGACATGGTCACAGTGCACCCACGACATGCTCACAGTGCACCCACGACATGCTCACAGTGCACCCACGACATGCTCACAGTGCACCCACGACATGGTCGCTCATGGTCGCTGAGTCCTCACAGTGGCACCTCCTCTCCTTCACTCTCACAGTGCTCCTCCCGTCGCACCTGTGACACGGTCATAGACGTCAGCAGCGGACTCGCCATCGGGGAATCGGTAGAAGAAGCGCCCGTAGCTCAGCCGCACCTTCTTCTCCCTCCTCATCTTCTCCCTGTCCTGGAAGTTGCCTGCAGGCCGGCGGACCAGTTTGGGCCAGGGGAGACATGGGCAGCGCATGTGTGGATGCAGGGTACAAAGAGACGGGGAGGATGTGACCGATATGCGTAGCTCAGCCGCACCTTCTTCTCCCTCCTCATCTTCTCCCTGTCCTCAAATTTGCCTGCAGGCACGCGGGCCAGCATGTGCCAGGGGAGACACGTGGGAAACTTTCTCAATGTTTGATACATTGACTTTGGTTTCATCCGTTGGGACAACATTAGCAATGCATGAGTGGATGCAGCGAAGAAAGAGACGAGGAGGACTGGAGGGAAAGGGAGGACGTGAGGGATGGTGGGAAAAAGAGTGAAAACAGGTGAGGGAAGGAATGGAGATAGGGGAGAGGGAGGGAGGGAGGGAGGGAGGGCGGGAGGGAGCAGGTGTAGGAAGGAGGAGGCAAGGGAGATGGAATGGGCTGCAGAGCATGTATGCACTGAGGGAGGCAGACGTACCAAAGTCTTGCTCGCGGATGCGGGGCTCCTCTCTCACGCCCGCTATCCTCTCCCTCTCAAACGCCAACCCCACTCCCCTGAGCGTCTGAGAAAAACAGCAGCACCGGGGGAGGATATGGGGTGATAAACAAGAGAATGAGAATGTGAGGAAGGGGACTCTCTCACGCCCGCTATCCTCTCCCTCTCAAACGCCAACCCCACGCCCCTGAGCGTCTGAGAAAAACAGCAGCACCGGGGGAGGATATGGGGTGATAAACAAGAGAATGAGAATGTGAGGAAGGGGACTCTCTCACGCCCGCTATCCTCTCCCTCTCAAACGCCAACCCCACTCCCCTGAGCGTCTGAGAAAAACAGCAGCACCGGGGGAGGATATGGGGTGATAAACAAGAGAATGAGAATGTGAGGAAGGGGACTCTCTCACGCCCGCTATCCTCTCCCTCTCAAACGCCAACCCCACGCCCCTGAGCGTCTGAGAAAAACAGCAGCACCGGGGGAGGATATGGGGTGATAAACAAGAGAATGAGAATGTGAGGAAGGGGACTCTCTCACGCCCGCTATCCTCTCCCTCTCAAACGCCAACCCCACGCCCCTGAGCGTCTGAGAAAAACAGCAGCACCGGGGGAGGATATGGGGTGATAAACAAGAGAATGAGAATGTGAGGAAGGGGACTCTCTCACGCCCGCTATCCTCTCCCTCTCAAACGCCAACCCCACGCCCCTGAGCGTCTGAGAAAAACAGCAGCACCGGGGGAGGATATGGGGTGATAAACAAGAGAATGAGAATGTGAGGAAGGGGACTCTCTCACGCCCGCTATCCTCTCCCTCTCAAACGCCAACCCCACGCCCCTGAGCGTCTGAGAAAAACAGCAGCACCGGGGGAGGATATGGGGTGATAAACAAGAGAATGAGAATGTGAGGAAGGGGACTCTCTCACGCCCGCTATCCTCTCCCTCTCAAACGCCAACCCCACTCCCCTGAGCGTCTGAGAAAAACAGCAGCACCGGGGGAGGATATGGGGTGATAAACAAGAGAATGAGAATGTGAGGAAGGGGACTCTCTCACGCTCGCTATCCTCTCCCTCTCAAACGCCAACCCCACTCCCCTGAGCGTCTGAGAAAAACAGCAGCACCGGGGGAGGATATGGGGTGATAAACAAGAGAATGAGAATGTGAGGAAGGGGACTCTCTCACGCCCGCTATCCTCTCCCTCTCAAACGCCAACCCCACGCCCCTGAGCGTCCGAGAAAAACAGCAGCACCGGGGGAGGATATGGGGTGATAAACAAGAGAATGAGAATGTGAGGAAGGGGACTCTCTCACGCCCGCTATCCTCTCCCTCTCAAACGCCAACCCCACGCCCCTGAGCGTCTGAGAAAAACAGCAGCACCGGGGGAGGATATGGGGTGATAAACAAGAGAATGGGAATGTGAGGAAGGGGACTCTCTCACGCCCGCTATCCTCTCCCTCTCAAACGCCAACCCCACTCCCCTGAGCGTCTGAGAAAAACAGCAGCACCGGGGGAGGATATGGGGTGATAAACAAGAGAATGAGAATGTGAGGAAGGGGACTCTCTCACGCTCGCTATCCTCTCCCTCTCAAACGCCAACCCCACGCCCCTGAGCGTCTGAGAAAAACAGCAGCACCGGGGGAGGATATGGGGTGATAAACAAGAGAATGAGAATGTGAGGAAGGGGACTCTCTCACGCCCGCTATCCTCTCCCTCTCAAACGCCAACCCCACTCCCCTGAGCGTCTGAGAAAAACAGCAGCACCGGGGGAGGATATGGGGTGATAAACAAGAGAATGAGAATGTGAGGAAGGGGACTCTCTCACGCTCGCTATCCTCTCCCTCTCAAACGCCAACCCCACTCCCCTGAGCGTCTGAGAAAAACAGCAGCACCGGGGGAGGATATGGGGTGATAAACAAGAGAATGAGAATGTGAGGAAGGGGACTCTCTCACGCCCGCTATCCTCTCCCTCTCAAACGCCAACCCCACGCCCCTGAGCGTCTGAGAAAAACAGCAGCACCGGGGGAGGATATGGGGTGATAAACAAGAGAATGAGAATGTGAGGAAGGGGACTCTCTCACGCCCGCTATCCTCTCCCTCTCAAACGCCAACCCCACGCCCCTGAGCGTCTGAGAAAAACAGCAGCACCGGGGGAGGATATGGGGTGATAAACAAGAGAATGAGAATGTGAGGAAGGGGACTCTCTCACGCCTGCTATCCTCTCCCTCTCAAACGCCAACCCCACTCCCCTGAGCGTCTGAGAAAAACAGCAGCACCGGGGGAGGATATGGGGTGATAAACAAGAGAATGAGAATGTGAGGAAGGGGACTCTCTCACGCCCGCTATCCTCTCCCTCTCAAACGCCAACCCCACGCCCCTGAGCGTCTGAGAAAAACAGCAGCACCGGGGGAGGATATGGGGTGATAAACAAGAGAATGAGAATGTGAGGAAGGGGACTCTCTCACGCCCGCTATCCTCTCCCTCTCAAACGCCAACCCCACTCCCCTGAGCGTCTGAGAAAAACAGCAGCACCGGGGGAGGATATGGGGTGATAAACAAGAGAATGAGAATGTGAGGAAGGGGACTCTCTCACGCCCGCTATCCTCTCCCTCTCAAACGCCAACCCCACTCCCCTGAGCGTCTGAGAAAAACAGCAGCACCGGGGGAGGATATGGGGTGATAAACAAGAGAATGAGAATGTGAGGAAGGGGACTCTCTCACGCCCGCTATCCTCTCCCTCTCAAACGCCAACCCCACGCCCCTGAGCGTCTGAGAAAAACAGCAGCACCGGGGGAGGATATGGGGTGATAAACAAGAGAATGAGAATGTGAGGAAGGGGACTCTCTCACGCCCGCTATCCTCTCCCTCTCAAACGCCAACCCCACGCCCCTGAGCGTCTGAGAAAAACAGCAGCACCGGGGGAGGATATGGGGTGATAAACAAGAGAATGAGAATGTGAGGAAGGGGACTCTCTCACGCCCGCTATCCTCTCCCTCTCAAACGCCAACCCCACTCCCCTGAGCGTCTGAGAAAAACAGCAGCACCGGGGGAGGATATGGGGTGATAAACAAGAGAATGAGAATGTGAGGAAGGGGACTCTCTCACGCTCGCTATCCTCTCCCTCTCAAACGCCAACCCCACTCCCCTGAGCGTCTGAGAAAAACAGCAGCACCGGGGGAGGATATGGGGTGATAAACAAGAGAATGAGAATGTGAGGAAGGGGACTCTCTCACGCCCGCTATCCTCTCCCTCTCAAACGCCAACCCCACGCCCCTGAGCGTCCGAGAAAAACAGCAGCACCGGGGGAGGATATGGGGTGATAAACAAGAGAATGAGAATGTGAGGAAGGGGACTCTCTCACGCCCGCTATCCTCTCCCTCTCAAACGCCAACCCCACGCCCCTGAGCGTCTGAGAAAAACAGCAGCACCGGGGGAGGATATGGGGTGATAAACAAGAGAATGAGAATGTGAGGAAGGGGACTCTCTCACGCCCGCTATCCTCTCCCTCTCAAACGCCAACCCCACTCCCCTGAGCGTCTGAGAAAAACAGCAGCACCGGGGGAGGATATGGGGTGATAAACAAGAGAATGAGAATGTGAGGAAGGGGACTCTCTCACGCTCGCTATCCTCTCCCTCTCAAACGCCAACCCCACGCCCCTGAGCGTCTGAGAAAAACAGCAGCACCGGGGGAGGATATGGGGTGATAAACAAGAGAATGAGAATGTGAGGAAGGGGACTCTCTCACGCCCGCTATCCTCTCCCTCTCAAACGCCAACCCCACTCCCCTGAGCGTCTGAGAAAAACAGCAGCACCGGGGGAGGATATGGGGTGATAAACAAGAGAATGAGAATGTGAGGAAGGGGACTCTCTCACGCTCGCTATCCTCTCCCTCTCAAACGCCAACCCCACTCCCCTGAGCGTCTGAGAAAAACAGCAGCACCGGGGGAGGATATGGGGTGATAAACAAGAGAATGAGAATGTGAGGAAGGGGACTCTCTCACGCCCGCTATCCTCTCCCTCTCAAACGCCAACCCCACGCCCCTGAGCGTCTGAGAAAAACAGCAGCACCGGGGGAGGATATGGGGTGATAAACAAGAGAATGAGAATGTGAGGAAGGGGACTCTCTCACGCCCGCTATCCTCTCCCTCTCAAACGCCAACCCCACGCCCCTGAGCGTCTGAGAAAAACAGCAGCACCGGGGGAGGATATGGGGTGATAAACAAGAGAATGAGAATGTGAGGAAGGGGACTCTCTCACGCCTGCTATCCTCTCCCTCTCAAACGCCAACCCCACTCCCCTGAGCGTCTGAGAAAAACAGCAGCACCGGGGGAGGATATGGGGTGATAAACAAGAGAATGAGAATGTGAGGAAGGGGACTCTCTCACGCCCGCTATCCTCTCCCTCTCAAACGCCAACCCCACGCCCCTGAGCGTCTGAGAAAAACAGCAGCACCGGGGGAGGATATGGGGTGATAAACAAGAGAATGAGAATGTGAGGAAGGGGACTCTCTCACGCCCGCTATCCTCTCCCTCTCAAACGCCAACCCCACTCCCCTGAGCGTCTGAGAAAAACAGCAGCACCGGGGGAGGATATGGGGTGATAAACAAGAGAATGAGAATGTGAGGAAGGGGACTCTCTCACGCCCGCTATCCTCTCCCTCTCAAACGCCAACCCCACTCCCCTGAGCGTCTGAGAAAAACAGCAGCACCGGGGGAGGATATGGGGTGATAAACAAGAGAATGAGAATGTGAGGAAGGGGACTCTCTCACGCCCGCTATCCTCTCCCTCTCAAACGCCAACCCCACGCCCCTGAGCGTCTGAGAAAAACAGCAGCACCGGGGGAGGATATGGGGTGATAAACAAGAGAATGAGAATGTGAGGAAGGGGACTCTCTCACGCCCGCTATCCTCTCCCTCTCAAACGCCAACCCCACTCCCCTGAGCGTCTGAGAAAAACAGCAGCACCGGGGGAGGATATGGGGTGATAAACAAGAGAATGAGAATGTGAGGAAGGGGACTCTCTCACGCCCGCTATCCTCTCCCTCTCAAACGCCAACCCCACTCCCCTGAGCGTCTGAGAAAAACAGCAGCACCGGGGGAGGATATGGGGTGATAAACAAGAGAATGAGAATGTGAGGAAGGGGACTCTCTCACTCCCGCTATCCTCTCCCTCTCAAACGCCAACCCCACTCCCCTGAGCGTCTGAGAAAAACAGCAGCACCGGGGGAGGATATGGGGTGATAAACAAGAGAATGAGAATGTGAGGAAGGGGACTCTCTCACGCTCGCTATCCTCTCCCTCTCAAACGCCAACCCCACTCCCCTGAGCGTCTGAGAAAAACAGCAGCACCGGGGGAGGATATGGGGTGATAAACAAGAGAATGAGAATGTGAGGAAGGGGACTCTCTCACGCCCGCTATCCTCTCCCTCTCAAACGCCAACCCCACGCCCCTGAGCGTCTGAGAAAAACAGCAGCACCGGGGGAGGATATGGGGTGATAAACAAGAGAATGAGAATGTGAGGAAGGGGACTCTCTCACGCCCGCTATCCTCTCCCTCTCAAACGCCAACCCCACGCCCCTGAGCGTCTGAGAAAAACAGCAGCACCGGGGGAGGATATGGGGTGATAAACAAGAGAATGAGAATGTGAGGAAGGGGACTCTCTCACGCCCGCTATCCTCTCCCTCTCAAACGCCAACCCCACTCCCCTGAGCGTCTGAGAAAAACAGCAGCACCGGGGGAGGATATGGGGTGATAAACAAGAGAATGAGAATGTGAGGAAGGGGACTCTCTCACGCCCGCTATCCTCTCCCTCTCAAACGCCAACCCCACTCCCCTGAGCGTCTGAGAAAAACAGCAGCACCGGGGGAGGATATGGGGTGATAAACAAGAGAATGAGAATGTGAGGAAGGGGACTCTCTCACGCCCGCTATCCTCTCCCTCTCAAACGCCAACCCCACTCCCCTGAGCGTCTGAGAAAAACAGCAGCACCGGGGGAGGATATGGGGTGATAAACAAGAGAATGAGAATGTGAGGAAGGGGACTCTCTCACGCCCGCTATCCTCTCCCTCTCAAACGCCAACCCCACTCCCCTGAGCGTCTGAGTGTAGAAGCGGGGGGGGGAGAGTGTACGGGGGTGGAAATCAAGAGAATGGCACATGGGAAAGGACTCCTCGATGCCTGCCATTCTCTCTCAGACGCGTAACCCACGCCTCCTAGAGGCGTGATTCTATCAATGAGGGTGCAGGAGAAGTAAACAAGTCGAGAGAATGAGAGGTGACAATGGAAGGCGAAAAATCGTAGGCAGGGGTAGGTGGGGCGAAGAGAGATGAGGGCAAGCACAGAGAACAAAGCTGATAGACTGTCTTGGATTGGAACTAATGGTAAAACGTTTCCACACAATTCCACACAATTCCACACACTTCCATACACTTCCACACACTTCCACACACTTCCACACACTTCCACACACTTCCACACACTTCCACACACTTCCACACAGTCCCACACAATGCCATGCAAAACCCCACACAATCCCACACAATCACACACAATGCCACATAATGCAGTCACAGGAGGAGGTACCTGCAGAGTGCGCGTGTAAGGCGACAGCCAGTGAGAATCTCACCTGCAGAGTGCGCGTGTAGGGCGAGACGTAGAAGTAGACCTTGAAATCCTCCTCCCCATCTGCCTCTATCAGCTCGCGCAGCTTCCTGCCCCTCTCCACCGCCTGCTCCCACCCCTGCACTCCCAAGCACTCCCAAGCACCCCACAAGTAGACCCACACAAGCAGGCAAGCAGAGGGGATGGGATGGTACACCCACGACACAGTGCCTGCCTGCCTACTGCCTTGGCGTAGGGGGAGTGAGGGGTACATTCGGGGCACTGGTCAGAACCTCTGGTCAAACCTCTGGTCAACCGAAATCATACCTATTTCTTACCAATTGTGCTAATTGTAAGGTTGGCTACAGTGTTGACCAGAGGTTTGCCCAGAGGTTTGCCCAGAGCCCGGAATGTACCCTGAGTCATGAAATGGCACACCAGTGCAAAATGAACAGGAGGAGGGGCATGCGACGGCATGCTCTTGGAGTCAGCGGCGGCTCCACTTCTTGTGTTGTGTGCCAGTGACCGTTCCTTGCTTGAATAAGGGCTCTCACTTGGCCCAGTCAGAGCAACCTTGGAGTCGGGAAAAACAAAGAAGCGGCCTGGCCCATGTCATGGCTACCTTGGAGTCGGGGATGCGCGTGCACGCCGCCTCGTCCACGTTGCCACCATGCCATCGCTAACACTAGTCCAGCAATTCATGCATGAAGCACGTGTTATGTGTCGTGAGGGGTACCTTGCGCGTGAGAGCGATCTTGGAGTCGGGGATGCGCGTGTACGCCGCCTCGTCCACGTTGCCCTCGCTCTGCCCGTGCCGCACCAGAATGATGCGATGCGGCCTGCTCGTGTGCGAGGGGGTGTGGAATGGGGGAGGGAATGGGGGAGGGGAATGGGGGAGGGGAATGGGGGAGGGGAATGAGGGAGGGGAATGGGGGAGGGGAATGAGGGAGGGGAATGCGGGAGGGGAATGGGGGAGGGGAATGAGGGAGGGGAATGCAGGAGGGGAATGGGGAGGGGGAATGGAGGAAGGGGATGAGGGAGGGGAATGGGGGGGGGATGCGGGAGGGGAATGCGGGAGGGGAATGCGGGAGGGGAATGCAGGAGGGGAATGCGGAGAATATTCACGAGCCATGAAGGACGAGCCTTGCAGAATGTGGAATGCGGAGAATGTGCGAGTGTGGGAGAGAGCGTGCACGGGAGAGCAAGGCACATCCTGAGTACTGACAAACGAAGCGACTCTGCTGGGTCGCGGCCACCTCCAAATCGTATCAGGACAAAAATGGCCGTCCACCATGCCACCTTGCGACCAACATAGACACACAGAATGCAACAGAGACAGACACTCTTGTTTCCCGCAATTGCAAACGCAAACACCATCCGCTCGTTGCGACAGAGCAATTCGGCTCGCGACGGTGACGACGACGACGCATCGACCGGCCAACGGTCACCTGAAGGCTTTGCCGTCGGGAGTGAGGATGTGCGAGATGGACGACTTCCGCGCCGCCCCTATTCCGCCCGAATCGTCCTCCTCCGCGTCGCTGTCCGCCTGCCACACCGGCGAGCCCCACCCGGGACTGTGTCCCCTCGGCTCGCCGCCTTCCGCAGCCGCTCGTTGACCAATTGGCGTGTCATCCGGCGCGGTCGTCGCATCCTCGCCGTCTGGTTTTCGTCGCGAGCGCCAGTTGAATCGCGGGTGCGAGTACCGACGTCCCCCCTGCGATCGCGCGGTGGTCGCAGATCTTCTGTCCAGGGCCCGGTGTGAGAAATGCTGGCCCAATTCGCTTCCTATTCTACCGCCTAGTCTCGGATCAATAGCACACGTAGCATGGCCAACGTGGCATGCCGCCGTGTGAGCCAATAGGATTCGGCGATCGAAGAAAGGACATGACAGATTGGCTGACCTAGAATGGGAGGCTGCAGTGATGGTACGAGAAATTGCGTTAGCAGATAATGGATTGGACACACATAATGACGCCATCCCGGTCGCGCAACGGGATTCGTCAGTCGGTAGCATCAAGCGATGTATATCAGCCAATTAGCATGTTCACCAATTTACCCGCGAGATTCAAGTGATTGTAGCTAAGAACGTGGAATGGGGCAAGTACTTGTGGTGAGTTGTGACTCAGGACGGCCTCCTGTCAGACCTCAGGCCAAGAGCGGCTGTCCCGAAGTTGGTTTGGCGATGGGGAAAAGGCTGTAATTGCTGTAAGGGTGTGGGCCCAATCGAGTTTGATCGTGATTGATCTGATCGGGTCGGATCTGATCGGTTGCATGTGATCGCAGTGTCCGAGCCGCCCGATCAGAGATGTTTTTCAAACAAGATTTCCAGCGCCTGCGGAGCAAGCGCGGGACATTTACGTCACAATTTCGTCCCCATTCTAGCGAGATTGGCGACCATGCGTCACCTGGAAAAAGTTTCGTTTCCCTGCAATTGTTTACACTGTAACTACTCGCAAGCGTCGTTTTGGGCCCCGATCACATGCAATCAGGTGATCGCCTGTGATCGAGGAAAATCGACTTTGATTGGGGTTAAAATCGGGTCTGATTGAGTTGGGGAGATCAGCTGATCGCGATCAGCTGATTGCCCCTGATTGCTTAAAATTGGCTTTCAAGCTTCCTAGAAATTGCTGATCGCATGTGATCGAGGCGATCAAACTCGATTGGGCCCGCGCCCTATTGGCTGCAAGTGAAGCTCGGCAGCTCTGACCTTAGAACCCGCCCTTGTATCGAATGTCTTGCTTGATTGGGTTTTCGCTGCTGGTTACCGCCTGCTGCCAAGATGAACAAATGCATCCAGCCCTTCGTTGGGATGCTGTGAAGTCGAGCCGGCAAACCTGGGCGCCTTCAGATTGGTCCTCCCGATGGCTAGATTTCCGGACATGCAATCGTGGGGTGTACGCTGCATTGATCGGACGACTCTGGGCTGCCTGTGGAGGTATGATCTGTTCGAGGGATGACTTGGCATGCTGAAGTCCACAAGTGAAGTTGGGTCGCTGCCACCCACACGTGTGTCTCGAAGTCCAGCGAACAAATTCGCAAGAGGGCGAATGGGCAAACGGTTCCTTTCATTCGCAGGAGCTGATTCCTGATTCCTGGATCGTGCCGACTCCCGTCTCGGTGCGCGCATGTTTCGGAACCAGCTTCCAGCAGGTTCGTTTTCGCAAGCTCTGAGGCGTTCGCCTCCGCACAAAGCCTACAAAAAGTCGTCAGTCCTCGCGTTCTTTCACAGAGTCTCCTTCGTGATTGTTATTCGTCTTAGCAGCCTCTGAGCAACCAGCGTTCTATTGTGTAGTTCCCCTTCTCATCAACAACCCGCGAGCGTAATCTTTTACCATGCCTGACGAATTTGTCAACCGCGAGGATGAGCGGGTGCTGGGGCAGCAGACAGAAGGCCAGGAGGCTCGGCTGCTGGAGCACGTGACGAAATCAACGCCACCCAACGACCCGCAAGCCGTGATCAACGCGATCGATGCGTATGCGTGGTCCAGCCGCGAGTTCTTCATGAACGTTGGCGACGTCAAAGGCGTCATCCTAGACGACGCCGTCCGCCGCGCGAATCCTCTCAGCGCAATCGAGCTCGGCGCGTTCTGCGGGTACTCGGCGGTTCGAATCGCATCTCATTTCTCCAGGCCGGGAGCGCGGCTGATTTCTGTCGAGCCGTGCGAACTCCGCTCGTCCATCGTCCGCGACATGGTCGCTCACGCGGGCCTCAGCGACAAAGTCACCGTCGTCACAGGGACTTTGCAAACCTCAACTGACGAAATTCGGCAAGCTGCGAGCAAGATTCCGTTCGATTTGGTCTTCATTGATCATTGGAAGGAGCTCTATATGCCCGACCTCCTGTTCCTAAAGGAGCAGAAACTCATCGGGCCTGGAAGTGTCATCGTGGCTGATAACATTTGGATTCCAGGATGTCCGGAGTATCTGGAATACATGGAGAAGAGCACTGAATTCGTGACGGAGAAGAGGGAGACTATGATCGAGTACTCGACAAAACACAAGGACCTGGTGCTCATCTCAACCTTCTCCCCTAAGGACGAGTAGGGGGGGTGCCGAAAAAGGGGGACAGCTTTGCTGGTAGGAACGAGCCACACCCTTGCCAAGCAGCTTGCACGAAGTTTATGTATGAAGTGAGTAATTTTGTAAGATTTGTTTGATGAATGTAGGTAATATTTCTAAGCAGCTCAATTGTGACAAAGGTGGTGTGGAACGCTTGCTGCAGCTGACCCCCACATTGTTTTCGCAGGGGCGAGGGTTGTTCGGAGTCTCGGCTAAGTACTCCCGAAATTTCGGGAATCAATTTTGTGAGGTCGCTCGTCGCTCGTTGCAGTTCGTTCCTCACCTCACCACCCACACCAGCTTCTACCAGTTTGGTTTTGTGAAATCTGTCGTCCCTACAATCTGAGTCCAGCTTTATTTTTCTACGAGTCACCAAAATTCGCTGTCGGATACCGCGCGCGAGCGCTGGGAACCCCACTACAGCCTCCAAGCCACCAATCGCGATTTATTTTGTACTTTCTTAGCATCATTAATCTACGAACTTAATCGTCAACCATGCCCGACGAAGCTGCGAACCGCGAGGAGGAAAGGGTGGTAGGGCAGGAATCGGACGGCCAGGAGGCTCGGCTGCTGGAGCACGTGACGCAATCAACGCCGCCAAACGACCCGCAATCAGTGATCAACGCCATCGATGCGTACGCGTGGTCCAGCCCGGAGTTCTTTATGAACGTTGGGGACGTCAAGGGTGCTATCCTAGACGACGCCGTTCGCCGCGCGAATCCTCTCAGCGCAATCGAGCTCGGCGCGTTCTGCGGGTACTCGGCGGTTCGAATAGCATCGCAACTCTCCCTGCCGGGAGCTCGGCTGGTTTCCGTGGAGCTGAGCGAATCCCGCTCGTCCGTCGTACGCGGCATGGTCGCACACGCGGGCCTGAGCGACAAAGTCACCGTCGTTACAGGCACGCTGCAGACCTCAACTGACGAGATTCGGCAAGCTGCAAGCAAGATTCCGTTCGATTTGGTCTTCATCGATCATGTGAAGCACCTCTATCTACCCGACCTCCTGTTCCTTAAAGACCAGAAGCTCATCGGGCCTGGAACTGTCATCGTGGCTGATAACATCCTTTATCCGGGATCGCCTGATTATCTGGAATTCATGGAGAGGAGCGCTGAATTCGTGACGGAGAAGAGGGAAACGATGCTGGAGTACTCGACCAAGGTGAAGGATCTGGTGCTCGTTTCAACCTACTCCCCTAAGAACGTTTAGGAGTCTAGGGGAGCTGAAAGGGAGCAGAGTTTCAGCTGTGAGTTCGTGACGGAGTACTCGACAGTGGTCAAGGATCTGGTATTAATTTCAACCGACTCCCCTGTGAAGGGGGGGCACTTTCAGGAAATAAGATGGCAAGCATGCCAGCATTATGCAAGTATGGCAGTAGAATTCAGCGGCATTTTACATGTAGTTTGTCCTAGGAAGTTTTGAACACACTACGACCCCGACCGGTACATGGGAGGTGCAGAGATCTTAACTCCTTCACGGTACATAAGATGTCCCAGTCACCCACTGGCAGATAAAAGGACCAGTAGTGGCTCCTCTGCATGTAGTACTTTTCATACAGTATTTACATTGGCTCTGAACTAATTATCTGTCAAAAAAAAAACACGGCAGCTCAGAGCCAAGATTTCATTCCAGTCTCACCCACCTTCGATCTGATGGTAGTTCAGAATATTTATCAGCCTTTTTCTTGAGCAGGAACATAGCTGCAATCGCTAGAAGTGCTGAAAGCCCCGCAAGCAGCCCGTCATCTGGCCTGCTACCACCACCACCCATCATGCTCATTTGGCCCGCCATAACCTTCGCCATTGCTAGCATGAGGATTCGCCCCATGCTCCCTGTGTTGCACCACTAGAGAGAGTGCAGCGCGCGGCCCATGTTGGCTTGATATGCGTCTTAACTGAGCTGACAACTGTGCTGCAAACGCATCCTCCGGCCATGCACCTGCATCGATCCCTGCCCTTATTGCTTCTCCTGCACCTCCTGCTACGTTCCCTGCTGCTGTTGCAGCTGCTGTTGCTGCTGCTGGCGCTGCTGCTGGGGCTGATTCTTGGAGCAAGGGTCCTGCCGCAGGGGGGGCAATGGGTGCTGTGCTTGGCACCGTTGCTGCTACTGCAGCCGCAGGCACTGCTGGCGCCACTGCTGCGTCAGTCACACCTGATCCTGCTGGAACCTCCATGCCACTTGCTGCCACCCCCTCTTCTGCTTCCTCCTCGCTCGCTGCTGCTGCCAGCATGCCAGTGCTCGCAGCAACAGCACTACTTTCCCCACAGCCAGCCCCGGACGAACCATCGTCTTCACCGTAGCCGCCATCACTCTCACTTGCCACCACGTCCTCCGTTCCTGCACCTTCCGTCTCTCCCACTTTCCCCTTGCCTTTCCCAACGTCTCCAGCGCGTACCATCTCTGTCTCTGCCTCCCCTCCCTTATCTTCTTCCGCACACCCGTCGCCCTCGTCACCTCCAGCCGCATCGGCTCCATCATTCTCGCTGTCCTTCTCCGCACAGCCGTCTTTCTGCACCTTAGTAGAGTTGGCGAAGCCTTTCTCGCCCTCCGTCGTCACCAACCCACTCTTCGCAGCAGCAGCGCTTTCATCACCGAGCCATGTTTCAACCACGCCTACCATGGATTCCTCCCCAGTACATGCGCCGCTCCTGCTGCATGTAGTACTGTTCGCAGAGGGCAGCTCGTGACACGCGGAGCGGCACAGCGGGCAGGATACCTGGTGTGCGCCACCAGGCAGCGTGGATTTCGGCAGCGAAGTTCGTACGATGATGAATGGGAAGGAGCATTTGGTGCAGGCGAGGACCATGTTCTCCGCTTCAGGCGGCAGGCGAGATAACGACGCCATGGCGTGCTGCGGAGATGGGATCTGAGCGCTGATCGGCTTTATATTGTTGGAGACAAACTAGGGAGACACAGAACCACTTCCGACGTAATAGCAGCATGAGGACTAAATATTAAGTTCTTTGAGAACACCGATGGCCAAACTCAAGAGTCCAGCCTGCGCGGGTTGTAATGCTGTGCAAAAAGCGGGCGCTGGCTCCCGTGCAGGTACGAACCGCGCTGCGCAGAAGCCATCGCGCGACTTGGCATTGTGGCGACTCGACGTGTCGTGACACGAGAGCCATTGTCGCATGAGAGCATTCCGTTTAGGCGCCACGAAACTCATAGGCGGCGTAACCGCCGAACCGGACATCATCGGGGACGACGAACTGACACTACTAGTAGGGCATGCCATTTGTGGAGTCTGTCCAGGGTTGCCTGCAACGCAAACGTCGAACTGCTAGGCATGTGCGAATCTCCCTCACTTCGTGGGGCGTCGTGTATTAGCGCGTACAACACTTTGGATGGGCCAATACCTGACTTCGCTCGTTACTAACCACGTATGTTCTTTACATACGCGGGTTTGAACTTGCAAAACCAGTCAATAACGAAGAATGGTTTACAGTGTCTCGTGCAAACGAACATGCACAAGACTTGATTACCATGTAGGGCAAAGAGAGCGATAAATGCCTACAGTAAGCTCAAAGCACCCGCAACCACATACTTCTCATTCACTTAGATAGAAACAGAACACTTGCCATCACTTACATAAATCAATGCATGAAAGAATAGTAGAGGCCTGTACAAACCCCTCCATTTTTCTCCCAATATCCTGCACAAATGTCTAGCAACCAGTACTCAGTCATCCAACTCAAACACCACTCCAGGAGTTATAGACACGAACGGCAGCGCCCGAGCCTTCTCGCTCAAACCATAGGACGAGCCGCTGTCCGCCGCAAAAATATCAGGAAGAGGCGTATCGTGCACTTGTCCTCGCGGCGATTCCCCTGCGCGGGTCGCAGTCACGTTCTCATCGCGCCACGAGGCTCGCCAGCCCTGCTCGGGCATTCCCGGCAGTGCTGCGAGGGTTGCGTCGCACGGAAGAGAGTCGGCGTCCCACGATTGGGTGAGAGGGCTTGGCTTCGGAGTTACAAACATACGCAATACAGAATCTACAGCTTCATTCTCTGGCAGATGAGCTGTCTGCGCCGGATGATTGAGCGGTTCGGCAGTGGTCGCAGCGTGTCGCGCGGCGTCGAGCTGATGAGAGATGCTATCTAAAAGCTTCTCATGCGCCGCCGAGTGGGATGGCCATGCGATTGGCGATGCGGCGCCGCTACTATTGCCTAGCAGCGCGGAATCCAGAGCGGAGAGCGCCGCTGAATCGGTCGTTGACTCCGCGGATGGGCTCCAGAAAGTAGGGATCGGGGGAATGCCGCTAGCGCCGCTGTGTGCGCTACGGGCTTGCTGCTGCGACGGCTGCTGGGGCAGGCTGCTGCTGACTGCGGAGTGTGCTGGAGCGCGAGTAGCTGCGCCTGCGACGGGGGCGGCGTGACGATGCAAAGCGCGGAGGAGTAGAAGCGAAAGATGGCTCGCCGCGGGTAGGCACATGGAGAGGGCTTGGTTGCGCGCTAGAGACAGCGCCATGCGAGCGAAACTTATTTGATTATCTGTGAAAGAATGTTGTTGTCTGGCGAAGGTTAACGACTATCTGAAGTCCAACTCTACTAGAACGTTGCAGGAGGCGAGGGAAAAGTGACACTTTCAAAAAACGAGCTGCTTACTTATCAGTGAGGAGCTGAGTAAGATCAAGAAATGTGATGATGCGAGGTGGTGGTGAACAATTGTTCCCGCCATTGGATACATAAATAGACTTTACCTCAAACGAAGCATGGTTGGCATGGAAGGTGCAGTGCTACAGCGAACGTTTGGCAAGCACAACCAGCAAATTCATCAGTTGAGTGAGGTGAGGAGGTCGCTGGGCAGGTGTTGTGGTGGGTGGTGTTGGTTGGTATGCATGGAAACTCCTCGCAGTTGCTGTGTTGCGTTGGCAATCAACGTGCGGGGGAAGGGGGGGTTGGTGAAGGTGGCTCATGCTGACCATGTGGTGGACACGTCACACGACAACTGTACAAGGAGCGGGGTGGGATTAGAGATGGTATGTCTTGTTCCTAAATATTTCCAGTGTGGTTTAGTATGGTGTAACTGTGCTTTGGTGTACGGAGCCTGATTGTCTCTCGACACTGATTGGCCCGCAGTTTCCTCTGCGACAATATTCCTGCTTCTGCGAACAGCTGACTGTCGCGTGCGCCAAACCTTGTGCGACCACCACCGCCTCAACCACACCTCGCACGAAGTAGAGTCTCCGTCCGCAAGCATCTTGCTTGCACGAAGCTGGAATGGTCGATTCGGTCGCCAACTCAGCTCGTGCTGGTTCTTGATTCTTAGTCGGTGTGAAGTCAGCTCGGTTCCGCACAGGTCTGCGCCATCCGTGGGTTGTGTGACTGAGCGGCTACCGCGTTTGCTTCCAACTGCCCAACCCATTTGCGGCCGCACGATGTCTTGGTTTGTTGGTTTTCTCACTAAAACGACAGCGTATCCCGACAGCGGGACGGAAAAGCCTGAAGTACAGGGTCGATCCAGCCAGCCACGCAGGTCAATGGACGCGCTGCGCATGGCCATTGGCTACCGCCTGCTTCCCGCGCCATGCTATGTGATGCGATGCGATACGATCAGCCGAGCGACAAACAACAGCAGCGCACAAATTTCTTTGTTGGACAGACAGAAGAAAAAGCAAGCCTACACTGTTGACCAAACATGGAACGCGCTTCCCGCGCAAACGAAGGTACAGAGTAAAACAGAAGGCTTCCCGTGTAGAATAAAACAGAACAGCGTTTCAATTACTACCTTCAAACCTTAACTAGAGTAAGCAAAACATGATGTGCGGTACCCTATTGCTTACAATTGGTTGTGAGATTCGTGCACTCCCTAATTGATTGAGATCTGTGGGTGCTTTTGCAATCCCACGGGTGACTTAGCTGGGATCTGTGATATCCGTTGTAAGAGAGTGCGCGGAATAACGAATAACAAAGATGCGACTCATTGAACTGACAATACAATGAAAGCACGAGATTATTTAGTGACTACTCTAGCTAGGAGGAAACCTCGGGAAACCGGTTGGGTGCATGTTTGGCGATCGGAAAGCCGAAGGCGATGCGGGGCAGCCTCGGCATCGGAGATGTAGGCCAAACATGCGGAGTGCGAAATGTCGGGGTCGTACGCGTAGCATTCAACCGCGGTAACGAATAAGGAAATTTCGTTACACTACCCCTCCCCCCCCCCCCCCCCCCCCCCGCCCGCCCCCCTCCCCCTCCCCAAATCACCAAGAA